AAATGAATATTAGCAATTTTTTGTATTGGCGACTGAAGAATAACTATTGGAGTTCGATGATGAATATGAATAATAGAACTATAATGTGACTCCAGACAATGAAAAGGATTAGTATTTAATTTTTATCGTTGATTTTTTCGAACCTTTTCGTCTGTTTTAAGTCACTCAGTTCTTTTATGACCTGTAAGATGACTGGGACATCTTTCTACGATCTATTCAAAAATCTTTCATGTGGATTAAAGTGAGGTTGATCAATCATGTGACTATTCCTCGAATTAGCTATACGACTGCCGTTTCTCAAAAAATTCGAAAATCGCAGTATCGAATCACAATTAGTAGTCAAGTTATTAGATGAGTTATGATGTTGACTGTGACTGGTAGCGATGAAATCACATTATTGGATGGAAAAATAAACGTATTATGATATTTTGAACAAGAATATCGATCATTAGACATTGTAGGAAAAAGAACCTGTTAAAGATATCAAATAATTGCATATTAAACAAGAGAATTGAGTATTCTATAATTTGAAATCATTTTATTATTCCCATGATACAAAACAATTGCAGGTATTTATATTAGATTTTATATGAATATGCAGTGTGTTCCTATGGCATCATAGTACTACATTAATCCGATAATGAGAGATCATTATAGTTTCAATGGATCTTTTCACTTCAGTCAGAAGAATCGATAGTAATTTTTATTATGTCCAAAATCAAGAACTTAGGGTACATTCGAAATGACGAGTTATGATGAAAAGAAGAAAGAGAATGATGCTTATAAATTGTAGTTAGAGTGATTGATAAAGAAATAATGAAATAGATAGTAAACGTCTCTTGTTATAGGTACCATAAGAAATTATTTAATCAATAAGAATTGGTCGTAGGTCACCAGCATGAAGACTGCAACTGTATTTGTGTTTGTTCATCTTACACAATATTTACTGAATGTCGAACATGAACAATAACTTTCGATATCAGCAAAAATTTCGGTTTCAACACGCCTCTCAATCCATAGATACGTGTTAATACTGGATCGTCTATTTTATATTGTGAATTAAGACGATTTCAATTGAACAATTTTTAGAGATTTATTGTTGCTTGATGATGTTGTTTTTAGATGCTTGATAGTAAATCCGTAAGATTTTGTCTTAATCATTCAAAATAATCATTCGGTTTCTTAAATGAAGTGTGCAGGTCGCGTATAAATAGGTGAACGACGATAGAGTAACTTGTAGGGCAAACATTTTGCCATCTTGTGTACACCTGTAGTGTATTCGAATACAACCGCTTGTAAACACTCATCTCAATTATTATCTTGAGTGTCGTGTAAGTTCGATATTTGTAGAACGAAAGTACTGTTAAAGCGCTCAACCACGTCATTTGATTGAGGATGATATGGAGTACTGTGAATATGATTGTAGCCAATGAGTTGTTAGATATTTTTCATCGATCCTTGATTATTCAATATAATTAATGGAACGGAATGTCATAGTTACAGAAATATTCATTGAATAAAGTTTGAGGTCTTGATCCGGCAATACAGTTTGGTAATGCAATTGCAATAATATGTTGGGCGAAGTAATTAACTATAACGAGTACATACTGATTTGCATACAGCGTTCATTTAAAAGGATCACTGCTACAGTACATTTCTATAACATATACCTCTATTCTAACTATTCTCTTTTCCTTGATATTTTCATTTCTATTATTTCGTTTCTATTGCCTTTCTTTGTCCTTGATTAACTTTTCTATTTCTTTCTACTTTTGTCCTCGTTTTTCACGTGCGTATATAAACGTTTGTTTTCTCAAAGAATAAACAGAGAGAGAAGGAAACACGTACATCTTTAATTGTGTTCATCGCTCTTCGTGAGCGTGAACCCCAACAGCCACAAAAGTCAATATCGATTAAAACAAAGACAAGCTTGAATGTATTATTGAATGCTGGTCTTCATTCTTGATCAGTAGTAGTGATTTTTAATCTTATAATAAGTACGATCTGTAGAGAAATGTGCTCCAGTCATGGGATCACCATGACAAACACAAAATTAGGATTTAATCATTGATCGTGGTAGATGTATTACTTTTATTTTTCCTTTAGAATTTCATCATAATGTTATTAATTTATAGAGAATATTATCTTTTAAAACAAATTATAGTTTATTTAATTGTGGATAGAGTTGTTTAATTATTATTTGTATGTTAGGATCTCGATCTTGTTCAGTTTTTAATTTAGTTATATCAGAATGATTATATGAAAATTTAGATGATATTTGTGTATTTTGTGAATTATCCTTTATAGATTCATTATCCAGTTCATTATCAATAGTAATATTATCATTCACCACAATGGCAGTGGACAAAGATTTTAGTTTATGTTAACATGGTCTTATAGTCATAGCAGCTAAAATATGCAGATTCTTTTAGATAAATGTTGAAGGAGATTTTGAATTATATGAGTAGGCGTAAATGTTCATGATAAGATATTATCTTTTACTTGGTAATCCATATTCAATATTAAATGGATCATCATTCTGCTCTCGAGAATATCTTGAGAGATAAGCAGGAGGACAACTATTATGACCTTCAATATGGATTACTTTATCTATATTATAGTCTTGAATCAGATGTGTTATGAGATCGACTCTCGCAGTTTTTACTGTTTTCTACATGATATGACATAACGGACAGTGATATGTCGCAATAATGATACTACGTCCTATTACACAAATGATTGTAATCTCAAAAAAAAATTGTATATAGTTAGAGCTTCTTTCTCACTAGCACTATATTTTCTTTCATATGGTGTCATAGGTCGAGAGTGATAATACAAGTTATGTAATTCACCATCAATTTCTTGTTATAGAACTCCTCGAATATCAATTCCACTAGCATTATTAGTTAGCACTAATGGTTGATTTCCAACAGAATAATGAAGAAATAAAAGTTCCATCGTGAGCATCTGCTTTAGTTTTTCTTAAGTGCTTTTGCTTAAGCAGGTCTCTACCGGATATATGACGGTTATTCTTCGCGAAATTTGTAACAACATGTGTTCGAGCGGCGACTGTAGCAAAGTGTGACAAGAATTTCTTATACTCACTTAACTGTTCGATAAAGTTATTTGCCTGAGCAAGTGGACGTGGTTATTCGATTGAAGAATTGCTACTATCTGATCTTTCATTGGCACGATACATTTCTGACTGGTAGTGTGACATAGATAATCAATTTATTAAACACCTAGTTCATATTTAGGTAAATTGAGTACCAGATTCTTAGCTTATAAAGCTGAAAGTACTCGGTCAAAATGATATAGATGTTCAGGAAATGATTGAGAAAAAAGCTATTATATCATCAAGACAAATGAAAGAGAAATGACGACAAGATTGTAATGTATCTATCATCATTTTTGAAATGTAAGAGGAGAGTTTCGGAGACTTATTGATAAGATATTTGTGCCAATATATACGTCACGACTCACTGCTCTTCCCCTTTCCTCTTCCTCTCTCTATTGTTCTCTCGATGTCGTCTCTCTCTTTGTTTCTCTATCATAGATAAGCTTTGTGTTGAATGTGCAATAGACACATTCTGGAGATGTGAAGTAGCTAATAAACATAATTGCCGAGTAGCGGCTAGCTACTCCTCCAGTCTGTCATAACATCTCTTTCTCATATTTATCGTTACAATATTGAACTGATAGAAGCCGAAAGGAGTGATGACAAAAGCTGTTTTCTCCTTGTCACCATCATTAGTAGATATTTGATAACACTATGATTTGAGATTAAGTCTTGAAAAATAATTAAATCCTTGTCTTAATTTTCTGATAGTATCTTCCATATTCGGGAGAGGTATAATCGACTATGAATCGGTAAGAACTATCTCTCTTTTTGACTAGTATCACAGGTGCACCATACGGTGAATGCGATTCTGAACTTAGATCTGCTTGAAAAAACACTTGGATTAATTTATACATTGCTTCTTCTTTATCCAGTTATAAATAAGGTTTAAAGGCAAGTGGTGACTGAAGAATAGTGTTCATAACGTGATGAATATGTGTTTTAGCAATGTTATATTTTTGGTTGTATCAAAAGTACGATGAAAGCGTTTTAATAAAGAATAAAGATTATGTTGTTGTTGTTTATTCTTGACTATATTAACTAACATACTAATATTTTCCTCGACTGTCGGACCAACGAATTGTATTGTATTACAATACGGTTTTCTGTTAGAATATGTCAAGTTATTACAGTTTTGAAAAAATGTGTTACGAAACTTCTGTGATTTATTAGTAACAATTTCATCTGCTTTTAAATCAAGAGGTACTGCTGTCTCACAGGTATAACCAATTGCTCCAAATGGTTTATGCAAAGATAACGCGAAGACTTGAGAATATTGAAATATAAAACGACAAAGTAAATATTCGACACATATGTCTTTTCTAATAAATTGAGAATATAACGACGTGCTGGATAACATAACATTAGAAAATTGTTCAGAAAATTTCCAAGTGTATATGTAGGTGTTATAATTTTACTATGACACTTGACAACATGTATTCTATGAACAGTTTGAATCGTTTTTTTTTCATTTATTCTAGTGATATTAATAATAAATTACGTCAAACTATCTATTGACTATATCTTTTGAGAAAATATATCCAGTATACATATCGCATTCCATATTTCTAACGCATTCTACAATACAAATCTTATTCACTCTACCGATGTTAGCCTTTGTCGATTGACAGTAATCCAGAGAAAGAAGAGTTGAATTTATCATTGGTTCTGGTGAAAAACTCACCGATATAATCTATATTTTAAAGTATGTCACGTTTGAAGGCGACCTTTTTTATTATTCGAGATTTTAAAAACAGCAAGACAGAAAAATAATTTTACAATAAAAAAGAAAAAAAAGAAACAAGCAGGACTTAGAATAATTGTTCGTTTTCATTTTATCTGTTACATACCACAGAAATATGCTATCAATTAATAATATCTTTTAAGCTTCACCTCCTTGTTGAATTGTTGTTGTAGGTAATGCTTTAAGTGGTATTTTTCGACTAACAATTGGTGGTAGAACAGTTGATAGTTTTATTGAAGGTCGAATTGATGTCACTTTGTTTGAATCAACATTTTCTGCATGACTATTAAGCAATTGACGTTGCCGTTTAGTATATGATTGGTCATCATTCGATTCAACACTGCTTGATGACAGTGGTCTGTTTGATGACAGTGGTCTGTTTGATGACCGTGGTCTGTTTGATGACAGCTGTCTTAATTGCTGTGGTGGTGTTGGTGGTCGTCGTTTAACAAATAAACCTTTCATTAAATCTTGATCAGGACTAGCTCGATTATGGAGAGACGATGAACGATTTGATAAGTGTTTAGCTGACAATGGATGTTGTTTTTCTTGTACTTCACTAGTACTTTGAAATTTTGTTGGTTTATTAGGTAAAATAATTTGTCCAAGACGAGCACGATTTTGTAATTGTTGTTGAAGTTGTTTTTCACGATGTAATTGATTAGTAAGTTGTGCAATTAATGTTGAACGTTGTTCAAGTTCAATTTTTAATTGTCGTTGTTTGTCATTTTCTAAACGTAATTCTAGCATATGTTTTCGTTCACTTACAATCAGACGATTTTCATAATCATTAATAGATTTTTCTTTTTCCTCTAAAATTTTATTTAAATCATTGATTGTTTGTTTACATTGACGGATTTCATTTTCTAGTTGTTCAATTGTTGATCGAAGTTGACCTTTAGGAATTTTTAATAAAACAAAATATATGTACAAGTCTAGTTAACACTTACTATCATCTGTAGAATTTACAGTACCACCACCTATTACTAATTGAAAAGTAAGATCTAAATATATATTCGCTTAAATTTAGTCAAGAAAAAACTCTTTAATTTCATATATATGTATACCGCTGCATTTTTGTTGCCATTTGGCAATTTCTTCATGAAGATTAGCCAATGTTGATGCATGTTCACGCTGAATAAATGCGATCGACTTTTCAGCACTTTGAAGTCGTTGAGCTAAAGTATTTGCATCAGACGGAAGATATTCGATATCCGACATTATTCAAATCTAAAAAAAATGAACAGAAATTCGGACAAAATTCATAGAGAAGAATAACTTAAGCAACAGATGTTATTATATATTTTAACGTCTATTAAAACATGTACTCATAGAACAAATCGATTAGTTTCTTTTTTTTATCATGTGCAACACTAATTATAATGTTTTAATATTTAAAGACTATAAAACACACAATATGAAAAAGAACAATAAAGAATTGAAATATAGACAAAGAACAAACAATACATATAAACCATTTTGATGCTTAATGATACATATTTAAAAAAAAGAAGAATATGCATTGACATATTCAACAGAATGAAGAAAGCAACAGATTGCATCACCATCCATCTAACATAATACAAGAGAAATTTTTCTTTTTTTCCTTTTCTTTCTGAAAAGATGAGAAAAAATAACGTGATCTAATATCTGACAAACATTGAACTTGTGATCGAACAAAAAAACAACTCGAGATTATATTTAATCATCACGAGTATTCCAATTACGAATTTTCGGACGAGTACTTCCTCCTCTTCCTCCACCACGAGCTGTTACTGGTGGTTGTTGATTAGACAATCGTGTTGTACGACCTGTTAGCGCTTTTCGTTGAGCATTAACATTAAGTGTTGATGATTCTACAAATTTAAAACTAGTTCGAATGAAAACTAAACGAAGAATACTATTTTACTTGCTATCGAAGGACCCTTTCCAGGTGTATTATCAAGCACTTTCCATAAATCACGAATATTCTCCGAAGCTATTGTTGTTATTGTATTACCACTACTCATTAATGCATCTAAATATATTGATTAATAAGCAAGAAATTGCTTTCATGAATTTACTTTCAGTCTTTTCCGGTGCACTTGTTGGTCTTTGTTGTTGTTGTTGTTGTTGTTGCAATTCATTGGCTACTTGATGTGCTCGTTTTCGATTTTCTAACTCCTGAAAAAAGAAAGTTAGCTATTGATGAAAACATAAAACATTACTTGTTTCGTTAAAGCATATTGAAGTTGTTCAAGTCGTTGAAGTTTATTTTCAAGATTAACATAATCTTTTTTTGGTGAAGTTGGAATATTCGAACGAATATTTGTTGGTATTACATCAGCAATTTGTGGACGTTTTATCATTACTGGTTCATCTATTTGTTAGGTTGTTTTTGAGAAGAAAAAACAAAACTTTGTTTGTAAAAATAATTACCTTCATATCGATTTAATTGTGATCGTAAATTATTACTAATTTCTAATAAACGTTCTTTATCACGAATTAATGTTTGAATGCGATTATTTGCTTGTTCTAGTCGACGTTTTGATTGTTCATTTTCTTGTTTTAAAAGAACTTCTGTAACATTAATACCATCGTCATTTGGTTTAGGTCGTCCTTCTATTAAAATGATGATTGATTAGATATAGAAAAGAAATCAAAAATATTAGACTAACCGGAAGATTTTTTTGTCAATCGTTCAATTTCATCTTGGAGCTGTTGAATAAGAATTTCTTGACCACCATAATTAAAAAGTGGGGTACGGCCAGCTAATTCTAATTTTGCTTCGCTTAACTAAATTCATGAAGAAATATAAACTATTGTACAAACTAATAATTAATTCAGATATAAAATGCAAGAAACTCAAGCAAAGAGTAGCTGATCTATTTTTTTTTTCACTAAAAAGGACATAAAACCAATAAGATTTGATGAACAATTACAAAATGATTAGATAATCAATACATAATACCATTTGATAGAGTTTCATAGGATATATTTTATTTTCGAACTATTCGATTTTCTTTTTAATTCAATATAAATTGGTTCCTATTTAATTTAAAAGTTTGAAAAGTGAATCAAATTGATGATTGATATATGTTGTATAGGGTTCAGTTTTTAGAACTAAGCTTTCGCTAAGTATCAAAGTAATTATGAATGGATTGAAGTTTATCATAAAATATATCGATTAAAAATCAACTGAAAAGAAAACATAACAAGAGAAGGTATTCGTAAATTTAAATAAATCGACGACCGAGAAATTTAAATAACTTTTACATTTTCTTCGAAAACGTTATATTCAAAGAGGAAATCTCAAGACAAAAAAAGTATCGAAATCAAGTTTTCGAAACAATTAAATCTTAATTACATTTTGTTTTGAAATTTTATAAACAGTTTCACGTTCTAGATAGTAAATAAAGGGGGGGGAGGGGGCTGAAAATTTCTAGACAAAATATTTGACTATTTTTCGCGTATTTAAATGCACTGGAAATGATTGAGAAGTAAAGTCCTAGAACCAAAATTTTGTGCTCTTTCAGAATATATGTTTAGAATTTGTCTTTGAGTTTCGATTATTAACCTATAAGTAAATCTTGACAAGATTTTTAAAAATTTATGGATCTCATTTTTCTGAAGACAAGTCTGCTTCTTGCACGCATCAAATAACTTCTGTAAATATATGGCACTTGAGGATGATCTCTATTGTGCAAAATGACACTAAAATGGTGGATTTTAGTTAATCTGCTTAAAAAAGGCAGAGTTGTGACGGGCGGTAGTTTTGCATTAAAAAAGCAAAAATCAAAAAAATAGCCATTTTTTCATGCGATAGATTTTATAAAAACCTTTACTGCACCTCAAAAATTTGCAAAAAAAATTTATTCAAATATATCGTTTTGTAGAGAATTATTTTCTGTGTCTTCCAATATATTCGATAAAATTTTGTGTCATATTTGAAACAAGTTCCATTTAAAGTTTTTCTCTCCAAAACAAAACTTTTTGAGTCTTTTCAAGTTTCATTTATAACTCAATAGTCAAAAGTCACAGAAAAACTCTAACGAGAGAATTTCTCCAACTGATACCCACCATTTGAGCTTATATTGGACTCGCAGATAGGTTTCAGTGGACTAGCAAAAGTCAAAAAGGGTTTGTCCACATAGGTCTTTATCGCTGAGTTATGATTAGTTTAGTAAATTTATCGAGCCATTGGAAGGTAAGTTCCAAAATATCAAATGACAGAATTTCGATCTAAAATTGTGCCTATATATAGGTCTAAGCACTCTTAGAATATCTTGAAAGTTTCAGCCGAAAAGAATGTTTCTCCATCAAGATATTGAATTTTCAACAACAATCTTTTACCGCACACATGTAACACAAATTGAGTTCACTTGACAACTCAAGAAATTCAACGAACGAACATTCTTTTCGGTTGAAACTTTTAGAATATTCTAAGAGTCATTAGACTTATCCATAGGCAAAATTTTGTATCAAAACTCCAATATTTGGGCTTCCGAAAAGTACCTAAAAGTGAGTCAAAAATTCAATAAATCTATCATAACTGTGCGCAAAAGCCAATAGAAATGAATCCTTTTAGACTTTTGTTGTTCTTGCTGAGACCTATCTGTGAGTCCAATATGCGCTCAAACGGTGGATGGCATTTGAAGTAGTTACCTCATAAGAATGTATTTTGAATGAATACAAAATTTTGATTCTAATACACTACTTCTTAGTCTTTTCTAATGCCTTTAAATACGCGAAAAATAGTCAAATATTTTATCTAGAAACTTTCGGTTCACTCGTTCTATGCTAATCATCTAATTATTGATTGACTTTCATCGAGTCTCATCGATTATATATCTTCAAGTTTTTGCTTTAAGTTCTATGTTCGTATCATCCAATAAAATTATTTAATCGATGTTTAACTTTCAAAATGAACTCTATTTTCGAAAAAAAATCTTCTAACATGCCTTTCGTTCCAGTTCAGCAACATCAGCATTTCGTTCAATAATTGATTTTTGATATTCGTCTGCTTCACGTCTTGTTTCTAATAGAAGTACTTCAAGATCACTCATTTTTTGTTTCATACTAGTCAATTCAGTTTGATGACGACGATCATCAGCATTTGATTGATATGTTAATTGATCAATACGTGATTGTCTTTGTCGAAGCTTAATAACAAAACAAAATTGTATATAAAATTTCACATTTTACAGTAAATGAAATTACTTCTCGTTGAAAATTATCATGATTTTTTTCTATTTGAATTAAACGACCTTCTAATTTTCGCACTTGAGATACAAGTTGCATTTTTTCCGTACGTAGAGTTGCTTAAGAAAACAATATTTTTTCTTTCTAATTTAAAATATAAAACAAGAACTTCTTTTTACCGATGGTGTTATTCAATGATTGTACATAACTATTTAATTGTGGATTTTTTTTAAGTTCATTATTAACAGCTGTATGATCAATATCAAGATTTGAATGACGTGAATCAAGTCGAGATATTAAATCACGATTTTGCTGACGTAATGTTTGATTTTCATTTTGTAATTCAACAATTAAATTTGATTGTCCTGATGTTGTTTGACCAGGTAAATCATTTACAAGTGCTTCCATTTGTTGTCGCATTTGTGAAATAACTGAACGAAGATTTTCATTTTCACGTTGTAAGACAACTAAAGCATCAGCATCTCCACCATTCTATTTCAAAATAGAATTCTATCAAAAATATAAAAAAACAAAAATGTCTTACTGATTTATATTGATTTGTATAAGCTTTAAGTAAATCATCTTTAAAACTAATATCATTTTCTAATTTTTTTACTTGTGCAATAGCCTGTTGCGGAAAAAGGAGTTTTATTAGTTCTAACGAAAAAAAAAAAGTTTAAGAACCTGTTCATGAGCACTAGATAATTTTTCAATAAGATCTTCAGATTTATGATATTCTTGTCTTTGATTTTGATTAAGTTTTTTTTGCCAATCAATATCTAATTGTGCTTTTGCTTCTTCTAATGCACGTTCACGATCTAAAGCATCTTCAAGTTCTTTTTTATATCTATATAAATAATTAATTCTCATAAGTAAAATTGATTTTTTTTCCGATGAAAAATATTTCATACCGATTAATATGATTGTCTTTAATTTTAAGTTCAGCTTTTAATGTATCACATTCATCTTGTAAAGCATGATGTTCAATATTTTCATTGGCATGTTCTTTACTTATTTGTGTTAATTGATGATTCCATTGTTTTTTTATTTGATTTATTTCATCTTGTAATCTATAGAAAAGAAAAGAAAAACTGAAACACTTTACAATTTTTTCAATTAATTTTAAAAAGATGTTCTATATAACTGAAAAATTAGTTATGATACTTTTTACATACTACAAACGACAAAATGTTTGCGAATCGTATTTTTGATAGACAATTCCATAGATAGTCAACTGCAAAAAACACAAGATTCTTAGAAATGTTTTTCATCTATAAAACTTTGTAGAGCTTGTTACGCTGATCATTTTGGTAAAAAATATTCAAATTTACTCAAAAAGATAATAATGCTAGGGTCAAAATGCTCGAAAGAGTCAAATACCGCTAAGCAGCAGACTAGAATAGCCAACGTGTTTGAGTATTTTGGTCCTATCACCATGATTTATCGAGTCAATTTGAATATTTTTTTTTTACCAAAATGATCAGCACAGCGAACTAGACAAGTTCTACAGACGAAAAAATCTTCCGAGAACCTTGTGTTTTTTTTCAGTTGATTGTCCATGGAAATATCTATCAAAAATACGATTTACAAACATTTTGTCGTTGGTAAATAACATCCTAGGTAGTATATAATTGACATACGTAGATAAGGAAGCATCTTTTTCTCGGATGATATGTTCGTATTCACGTTGTTTTTCATTTTGTTGTTGTCGTAATTGAAAACATTGATCATTTGAACTTTGCCATTTATCTTCAAGTTCTTGATAACTTTGTTTTAACTGTTCTATTTTAACATCTTTTTCACGTATTAATCGATCACGTTCACTGTATCTAATCAAGATAATAGATTAAAATAATTCTTTTATTCTGTTTTATAAGTGTGTTTTATAACTAAAAGAATGACAAAACGATAGATGAAACTAGTAATTATATACAGAAAGAAAAAAACAACTACTTCTGTTAGATAACTATCGATAAGAATCATACATCAATTGATAAGAGAAGTCATAAATTGTAGAAACAAAAAATTCAATCATTAGTATATAATCTAGGAAGATTATTGAGTCAGGAATTCGATAAAGGTTTAATCATACATCTTTATTAGGAAACTTAATGATATTAAAATTCATGTAGTTGTAGTTTTTGAGAAAACATGCTAGCTGTTTTTCAGAGATATGTTTTACTGAATATTAGAATATGAGAACAAACTCTAAATAAACAGACTCGATTTATTTCAAGCTCTGTTTGATACAAAAAATTAACATGTGGATCAGTTTCATCCTCTCTTCTTCATTCAATGATGAAATACAGGATGTTTCAAAAGTAGTGTCCTACGGGAACGATTTTAAAAATGGACACTCTCAAAAATCATTTTGTTTTGTTTTGATTTATGTATATACTCTTCGAACTTTGTTCTAAAACAAAGGGTCGAAGTCAATATGATGCTACATGGTTGGGAAATAGACTTTGATATTCCTCGAAAGACTTTCGCATCGTTTATTAATTAAAAAAGACATAAAAAATATCTATCAACAAAAATTAGACAAGATCATTCATTATTCATTAGACTGTAATTCAAATTATAACAGCTACTATTTTCTTTATGATTATCACCTGCGAAAGAAATACTTTTCAGGTTATCTTGCTATATAGCATTATTATTATCTTCTCCTGTTGAATTTTGAAGAAAATAATTCTCTTAACTTAATATTGATAAATTTTGACGTATAAAAAATAATTGATTTATTTTGATAAAATACATCTTCCACGATAATTTTGTGTTTAATTGAAGGCTATCTCATGTTGCGCAAAGGGCAATGTTTACAGAAGCTAGTATCTCGTAATGATAGTTTTTCTCAAACATGAAAAATTAAACAGTAATAGGAATTCTGAAAACATTACGGAACGGGAACGGGGTCAAAAATATTTTTTCAGGAATGAGAATGCGGAAACGGGAACAAAAATATTTTTACGGGAACGAGAACGGGAAACGAGAGCTAAAAAACTTGTTTTTGCAGGACACTAGTAGACAGAGCGTTTTCACGAAGGAAGAGAAAATGTCAATGATGATGCTCAACCGGATCGTCCGATTTTCGAGCGGACACATGTAAATATTGAACTGATACGATAGATTATCAACAATGATCCACTTTCAACGTATGATGATATTGTAGCTGAGACTTTTCTCTCACAGCACAATAGAGCGAATTATTCACAATTATCTAAAGATGAGCAAACTTACATCTCATTGGGTGCCGCCTCATCAACTCATTGATAGACAAAAGTAAGAGCAAGTTAGTATTTGTCGTGAAAATTTAGTGAAACTTTGTGATAGATCATGGCGATTATGTAATATGATTACAGATGATGAGACATTGAATTATCATAGATACATTGAATGTAAGTCGACTAATGTAAGCTGGATTAGTGAAAGTGAATCACCGACGACTATTGTTCGCCGAAGCTGATTTGAATCAAAAACTTTGTTTTCTATATTCTTTAAATCGAACGGTCCTGTTCTTAAACATAGTATAGTTGAAAGCAAGACTATAGATCACAACTATTATATTGAAAACTGTCTCAAGCCTATTGTCAATGAAATATGGAAACAAAGAAAGCCATTGAGTGCAAGATGTATAAAATTACTTGATGACTATACTCGATCTCATACTCATTCAAATGTTATTAATTATTTAACACAAGAAGATATCGATATGATGCTGTGTTCACCGTTTTCATCAGACCTTACGTCATGCTAAATGATTATATCAAACGTAATTTATCTGATCAAACAAATGAAAACTCATTGGCTAGTGTGGTTTTCAAGATAGTTAAAAATATTTCAGAAAAGTGTAAAAAAATCATTTGGCAAATTGTTAGAAAGGATGAAACTTTATATAAATAATTATGGCGACTATTTCGAAGATTTAATAAAATAAAATTAAAAATATCTCTTTATTTTTATTTAATGTTACCAGAACTTTTGGTCAATCTTCAGTGTGTGATCAAACTGTAAAAACAATAGTTAAAATTTCTTAAATGGCTGAAGAACTATTCGTGATTTTCTTTTCGCTCGAACTTTTGGAATATGTTATATTTGAAAGCAAGTAATATTTATTTATTATAATACAAACATTCGAAACGTTCGATTATATTTACTTACTTTCGGCTATAATCATCCTCTCGTTCTTGAAGTCTTCCATCAACATTACTACACTTCAATTCAAGTTCTTTGATTCTAAACAAAAAAAAAGTTTTCAGTGCTAAATAAAGAAGAATAAAAAGTTTACCTTGCATTTTTTACAGCTTCTTGTTCATGTAATTGCCATTCAAGTTCTTTTACTGACTTTTCTAAAGTTTTATTACGTTCCATCAATTCATTATTGTTTAATTCTATTTTACGAATTGTTTGAATATGTTGTTCCAATTCTTCAGTTAATAATTTACTCTAAAATAAAAAGAAAATTCAAAAAAAAATAAATAAAAAAAAACACAAATATATTCTTACTTTAAGTTCACTTGCAAGTTGTAAATTGATAACATCATCATGACGACGTTTCCAATCATATTCAAGTTTTTTTGTTTGTGTTTCAAATTCATTTGTTAATTCTCGTCGTTGTCTTTCTAATTCATTTTCAAGTTCTGTAAGACGACGATTAATAGCTCGACGTTCTTGTTCTAATTGTTCACGTTCTGTTTGAAGTATTTGATCACATTGTTGTTTATAATTTGATAAATCTTTTTCTTTTATTGATAAACGATGTAAAAAATGTTTTTTTTCTTCATCTATTTGTAATTCAATTTGTTTTTTTAATGTGTATAATTGATCGTTTACAATTTTTAATTCTGATATTTCACTATTTTTTTCATTTAAAATTTTTTTCATTTCTACATATATATGAAAAAATTTAAAATAAAGTTCAAAAGGTAAAAAATAAGTGCAGAAAAAGAAAGTAACCTTTGAAACGATTATCAAATGTTGCAAGTTCTTTATCTCGATCATCAACTAATTTTAAATTGTATTTAAAATCTTCTGATAAACGATTATATTTTTGATTTAATTCAGCTAATTGTTGATCTCTATTTTCAACAGTTGCTTCTAAGGTGGCTAGTCTAAAAAGAAAATTCGAATTGTTTTTTTAAATGTTTAAAACATAAATAAAAAACAAAACCTACCGCTCTTGCATAACAGCTAACCATTCTTTTTCTTTTTGTAGAGCAAGTTGTTTCAGTGCTTGATCATCCATATCGATCAATTAAAAAACATCTAGCCGATTATGTTTAATCCCAAGTCATATTCATCAATTTTTTTTTTCTATACTCATACAGCCATTTCAAACTGTCGTTACTAAGCAACTATAAAGGCAGAGTCTAGTGCATTACCGTTAAGAATATTTAAAGAATATTTTTTTTCTAGATGAAACTGTTGTTAAATGTATTTTGCTTTGAAGAATTAAATTCATTCAATTTTTTCATTAATTTTAATGGGATTAATTAGGTTACTTAGTTACGCCATACGTAAAAATAAAATGATGGTATGAATTTGATTTCTGTTTCCTAATAATTGCTTTGTAAATTGAATAGAAAACGAAAACGAAAAAGAAATCATGCTATCAACAACAGCAGGTAATATTTCATCAATATTGATGCACTATGTGTTCTTACAAACATATTCTTTTATTTAGATTATGCACCAAATGATAAAAATCGTCAAAAATTATTATTATCGTCTCGTGATTGGGAAACATTAGCTACCGAGTATGATTATGGAGATTTTGCTTATGTTAATTAATATCTCATTTTTTTGTCTAGTCGTAGTCTGCGTAGAGAAAACACGGCCTTATCAAAAACTGGTGGTTCTGAACGAGGATTTCATACACGTACACCTGGGCAAACAGATCGTAGTCGACGAACCGGACATGGAAATTATGAATCTGATGTATCAAGTGAAGAAGAAGATGAAGAAGAAGAACAATTATTTGAACGAGCACGACAAGATCAAACTGATTTACCAACAGAATATTGGCAAATTCAACGTTTAGTTAAATATCTTAAAGGTGGAAATCCAACAGCTACTGTTATTGCTTTATCATCAATTCGAGATTTTAATTTATCAGTTGAAACATGTCAATTAGCTATTCGTGATGTTGGTGGGCTTGAAGTACTTGTTAATCTACTTGAAACAGATGATTTTGATTGCAAAGTATCTATTTTACATATAATTTTTTTAGAAATTATTTGTATCAATTAATTTTTAGATCGGTTCATTACATATTCTGAAAGAAATTTCAGAAAATCCAAATATACGTCGAAATATAGCTGATCTCGGTGGTTTGCAAACAATGGTTAAATTACTTGATGAACCTGATAAAGATTTAAAATGTCTTGCTGCTGAAACTATTGGTAAAAAGTTTTTTTCTCATTCAATTAAAAGAATTATACTATAGATCTTATCATATACTTTTAGCTCATGTCGCAAAATTTAAACGAGCAAGAAAAGTTGTTCGACAAAATGGTGGTATAAAACGATTAGTAAGTATTATTGAAATAGAATAAAATATAAATACATAAATAAATACCTTAGGTTGGACTTTTGGAAAATGCTTGTGTTAGTGGTCATGGACCTACTAGTCATAGTTCGATTAGTGAGAATGCGAAAAATATTGAAGTTGCGCGTGCAGGTGCATTAGCTCTTTGGAGTTTAAGTCGATCGAATCATAATAAACATCATATGCAACGTGCCGGTGTTATTCCACTTTTGGCTAAATTACTTAAAAGTTCAAATGAAAGTATGCTTATTCCTGTCGGTGGTATTATAGAAGAATGTGCGACTGATGTATAATTTAAATTTTTAAATTTTTTGTTGTATATAAAAATATTTTATTTAGCCTGTCTATCGAACAGCTATTCGAGGTATGATTCCTGATCTTGTGAAAAATTTATTAAGTGCTAATGATGAATTGAAGAAACATTGCGCTAGTGCAATTTTTAAGGTTTGATAAAGATTGAATATTTTATTTAGATAAAAAGAAAATCTATTTTCTATTCAGTGTGCTGAAGATAAGGAAATTCGTCTTCTTGTACAAAAGTATTCTGGTCTTCGTCCTTTACATGATTTATTACAAAAATCGGATAATAAAGCTTTATTAGCTGCAGCAACAGGTGCTATTTGGAAATGTGCAATTTCTCATGAAGTAAATTTTTTGTTTCAATATTCTTTCTTTTTATCGCATTTTGTGTTAGTGTATCGCACAATTTCAAGAATTTCGAACAATTGAAGCACTTGTTCAATTACTTAATAATCAACCAGAAGAAGTGTTAGTTAATGTTGTTGGTGCATTAGCTGAGTGTGCTAAAGGAGCAGATAATCGAGCAACAATTCGTAAATCCGGTGGAATATCACCACTAGTTAACCTACTTACAGGAACGAATCAAGCTCTATTAGTTAATACTTGCCAAGCCTTACGTCAATGTGCAGAAGAACCTGACAGCATACAGTAGTTCTTTTTTCTTTGATCTTCTAACTTATTTTTCGATGACATATATTTAGAATGATTGATCGATTGGATGGTGTTCGATTGTTATGGTCACTATTGAAAAATCAAAATCCACGAGTACAAGCTGCAGCTGCTTGGGCTATATCACCATGTGTGAAAAATATTAAAGTTAGTTGAGAAAAATTAAGTTCATACAATTTTTAATCTTAAAATATCTATGTATTATAGGATTCAGGTGAAATGGTACGAAGTTTTGTTGGTGGTCTTGAATTAATTGTATCATTATTAAAATCAAAAGATGTTGAAGTATTAGCAAGTGTTTGCGCTGCTATAGCTGAAATAGCAAAAGATGAAGAAAATTTAGCTGTTATAACAGATCATGGTGTTGTTAAACTTCTTTCAAATTTAGTAACACGAGTTAGATTTAATATTGTATTTTTCTTTCGAAAACTATGCATTTTGTATTCTCTAAATAGAATGAAGATATACTTCGTCGCTATTTGGCTGAAGCTATAGCTGAATGTTGTAAATGGGGAAATAATCGACAAGCATTCGGTGACAATCAAGCTGTTGCTCCACTTGTTAAATATCTTAAATCATCTGATCCTAATGTACATCGATCAACAGCTAAAGCATTACATCAATTATCAAAAAATCCAATGAATTGTGTTACAATGCATGAAGTTGGCGTTGTTCGAGTGGGTTCTATTTATTGATTTTTTCATCTTATTAAAAATTTTTTTTTTTATGCTATAATTAGTTATTAATGGAAATGGTTGGTTCAAAAGATGATGTACTTCAAGAAAATGCAGCAATTTGTATTTCATACATTCGTCGATTAGCATTGGCAAATGAAAAGTCAAGAAATGGCTAAATTAAATAAATTGTTTTAATTTTTTTATAGATGAGGAGTGGAATCATGCTTTTTTTTCTTTTTTATTGCACATTTATTTATGATTTTTTTCAGTCCAATAAAACCGCATCATGTTTTTATAGCTCAAAAAAAAAGATTTTTATGAATCAAATGATTTAAGAATTATTGACTGTTACTATTTTTGAGAATAAAATGAAATCTACTTCAGTCGATGAAAGAAAAGATAAGATTCTTAATACATGATTGCTATGCCAATAATACTCTTTCTAAAGATTATACTTTATCTCAATTCAATTATTCATATAATAACTCATCTAATCCTATAGGTAGATTATTTCAACTGATAACAGTTATGCGTCTGTAATGATAACGCATCAATAAAAGAAAGGGTATCATGATTTTTAATGTTCTCTTTCTGTCTACTTAATAAATCTTTTTTTTTATTGACATTTTTCAACTACATATTCCTCATAAATTTTTATCCAAACATGTCTTTTTATGAATACAATTGAAAAGAAATTGATTTGTGTATGTAGCAATATTGTATTTTATATTGATTGAATAATGTCAAAGAATAAAAGAAAATATGCATCCATGTTCAGTCACTTGTTCTCATATTCCACTTCACTTCATTTTACTTAAATCGAACACCACGCAAATATTGTAACATAGACGTAGACAAAAAAAGAGAAAAAGAAAAAATGTTAAAGAATTGACAACCATAACAACAATAATATGATTTCTGTTTCTTTTTTCATCGTCGATACATAGCAAAGTGGCAGTAGGCAACAATCGATTCTCACAATCTTTAAAAAAAAAATATTCACCAATGCATCGACAACAGGAGCAAAGAAAAAGGAAACAATAAAGTGCTCCTGATGTATGCTTAGGTTCTGCTGATTGATTGAAAATTTGCCGTTTTTCTCTTCTCTTCTTTTTCTATATTAGAAGTAAAAAAAAAGAGTGAGAGAGAGAGAGGAGAGAGTTTTTCCGTTACTCCACTGTTATTTCGGGCGTCAAGGTGCCCAGCGTCTGTTGTCACCACTCGTTGACAACAGACGAAACAAAAGAGAAGCGTTTACATTATGAACATGTATTGATGTGAAAGAGAATAAGAAACAGTTTCATTCGTATGCATTTTTAATCATACGTTGCATATTGTCATTTTTATTTCGAGACAGTGACACTTTTCGATTTTTCTTTTAGAATAATTTAAAAAGATGGTCTACACTGAAACAAAACCACGTGGACCGATTTCGGCTATGAATTCAACACCGGGCCCTGTGTATCTATTGCCAGGTTTAGTTGGAAGTAATGCCCATGATCCACGTTCAGTTCATAGCAAACAACCAGCATATTCCTTTGGTCTTAAGCATGGTAAATATAAAGATGAAGCATCACCTGGTCCATGTTATTTTCCAAATCCAAAAATTTCTCGAACTGGTAAAGATGGAACACCACAATATTCACTTTATGCTCGACGTGGTGATCTTAAAGGTGATCTCAATCCTGGTAAGAAAATAACAATAACAATATTGACATGATTTTAATTTTTATATGAATTGATTAGGGCCTGGTGCGTATAAACCCGAAGATGCAGGACCTATGAAATCTGTCTTTCAAGCTCCACCTGCTTATACATTTGGCACACGTCACAAATATTTCGGACTTGATAATACACCTGGTATATTTATATTTCTTATTTCTCTTTCTTTTTTAAATATATTTTCATTTATTCTTTTAGCACCAAATGCATATGCTCTGCCAGGAATGATGGGTAAGACAGTTCAAAGTGTAAAGAAACAAGCACCCATTTATACATTAACTGGACGAAGTAAACATGGTGGTTTTGATGAAGATTTACAACGAACACCAG